ATTGACTCTCTCTCTCTCTCTCTCTCTCTCTCTCTCTCTCTCTCTCTCTCTCTCTCTCTCTCTCTCTCTCGTATCCATGCAACGTGTTACCTTTGGGGCAAAAATGAGCGCCATAGTGATTGTGACGAAGACCTGTTGCTGTGCCATGTGAAGCACGAAAACCACATCCGGTCCAACGGACATACCCACAAATTGCCTGCAGCATTGAAGAGGAAAAAATTAGCGAATTAGCTATCAATAAACTTGTTTATATTCATTATAGAACAGACTTGCAGTAAACTTGTATACAAAGCGCAAACTGCACTTTCGATTTGGATTTTGGGGCTCGTAAAATGAAAAGGAACATGATAGTGGGATCTGACGCCTAGGTATAGTTTCCAAGATCTTGAGGGTTTTCATATTCATAAATAATAAGAAAATTATTTCAGTCACATTTCACCCTTTATTTCATTTAGGCTTGCCTCTTGTAGTTAAGTTTCGAGCATTTTTTAAAACGGACCAATAGTAATCTGCTAAATATGTTATCACTCCATTTTCCCTGATGTTGCTTTCCATGGTGGCAATGTCTTGGTGAAGACGCCTTTCATGTTATCACCCCCCCCCCAGTTTCGCATTTATTAGACCTTCAACATCGTACATGCAGCCATGTTGCCTATTATTATAAAATAATAGCTGAAGATCACATCAAGATTTCTAAACGTGTTGACTAAACAGTTAGCCGGTTAATTCCCTTGCTAGAGCCTTGAAACCTAATATAGTAATTCAGCTTTGTGTCTTGGGAGATTTAGTCTCTGAGGAGGTCTTTCAGTCCATTTTGCGTGATCATATCGTGTATTCGTACAAGAAACTGTGAGTGAAAAATTAGGGCCATATGATGTTGACGCTTGAATCTGTTCTTCAGGTGTTTCTTCTTCCCCTTCTGTCAGGTACACATTCTCTCTGGCGCAGCAGGACTTAGTAAACCTTCGCTATGTGGTACTGGGTGTTGGGCAGATGGAAGGTCAGGATTATCAGCTTTATTTTAAATATATCCCTTTGGTTCTTTTCTCACAGGTTGCACAATACAAAAGCAGATGCCATCTGAATGATTTTTCAGGTCATGTCAAATCTTTAGCACTGTAAAGGGCTATAGGCCTAAGAGTTTATTTTCACTAGCAACCAGTCACGAAGGTTTGTAACACAAGAATTGCCTCATATTATGTGAGGAACCCAATTTGTGTACTGGTCACCAACTTTGCATCTAAAATATTGATAAGCCTTTTACACTTTGATATCGTTATGCTTTGTATAGTATAGGATATTTCGCCGCAAATGTAACACAATTAATCGGGATTTTTTTTCACAATGATAACGTATAACTACTGTTAGTGTAGAGTAAAACAAACTGTTTCTGGTTTCTAAAATACCCTATCTGATGAGTGAAAACTAAATTTTAGTGGTCTTAAAGAAGCAACAGAGCAAAATACTACATCACACTTTTTAAAAGAAAACTTTCAGAACGATTGTTTAAAAAAACTGAAATCTATTTGCAGTTTAAAATCAGTGATCCCAGCAGTTTAAAAAAAAAATTACTTTAAAAAGGAAAATCAAGCTCAGGCTGTATCTAAAAAAAACTAGACCTGAACGTCAAAAACGAGTGTCATTTTCTGATTCAGGGCCCTCAAATTAGTAATTTTCTATTGATTTTAGGCCTGATGAAAATTCCTTGTAGACCAGAGTAATCAATTTAGATTTAGTAGAGAGGAGCACATCAACTCAACAGGCATCAATAAGACAGAAACTACAGAAAGAAAGCAAAGAAGAAAAGTACGTCCCTACGGCCAATCGCTAGTGAAATGAAGAAGCAGCATGAAACATACATGTATGTAGATAAGATGGAAAAGAAACAGAAGGTCAGAGAGCAAAGATAAAATAATAAGGAAGGAGTATGACAGAAATACAAGGAGACAGGTAGCTAAAACATTAGAAAGACACTAAGGCAGACACGCACTCATACGCAGGCAAATACACAAAAATTAAACAAGCGAGTTGGGGGGGGGGGGGTTCAAAAGGTATTTAGTCTAAATATGAAGGGATAAATATAGAAGTTTGTAACTTGGCACACATACTTTCATTTCTCTACATAGTTACCATGCAGAGTAACACATTTCTGCCACCTCTCTTTGACCTTCAAAAGTCTTTGAGAAAAAAAGACCCGTAATGGGCCCCTAACCTGTCTTACACAGCTTCAATGGTGTCCTGTTTGTCATGGAAACGACGTCCTTTCAGTGATTTTTTAAGATTAGGAAACAGAAAAAAGTCTGAACGAGCTAGGTCTGGTGAATAAGCTGGGTGTGGCAGGATTTCAAAGCGGCAATGTTCTGCTGTCTGGACTGTTTGTTGTGCCCTGTGCGTAGGGGCGTTGTCATGCAGTAGGGGACCCCGTTACGGAGTTTTCCTTGCCCTTTTCTCACCAAATTGGTTTATCAGCAAACCCGAATAGCAATCCCCTGTGATTGTTTTTCCATTTTCCAGGTAGTCAGTCATGAGGATACCTTCACAATCCCAGAAACACGACAGCATTTACCTTTCCACTTGACGGTGTTAACTTTGCCTTCTTTGGTGAGGGAGAAGAAGAGGTTTTCCATTGCATGGAGGACATTTTTGTGTGTTCTGGACAAAATGATAAATTCATGTTTCATCCATAGTCACCATGTTTTTAAAGAAATTTGTGTCTTTGGACTCAATTCGAAGGAGAGTTTCGCAGGACTCAACCCTCTGCTTCTTTTGCTCACTTGTCAAAAGGAGGGGTACTCACCGCGTAGACACCTTATTCATGTTAAGATGGTCTTTGAGAATCGTTTCAATTGACCATACACTGATTTCTGTTTCACTTGAGAGCTGTTTAATAGTTATGCGTCGGTCTTGTAAAACCAGTTTCTTCACTATGGATACACTCTCTTCTGTTATCACAAAGGAGGGGCGCCTTTCACGATTTTCATCCATCACTGACATGAATCCAGATCTGAATTTTCTTACTCAGTATGTCACAGTATTATAACGAGGACATTCGTCATTCATAAACTTGGACCATTTCCTGAAAAAATGTCCGAAGGGGATTTTCCTTGCAAGTGTAAAAACTCGATAACTGAGCGATATTCAAAGGGCTCCATGGCACAGCTTCAACAAAGAAAAACCAAACGTATTATTGTGCATGGTTTCATTGAACAGCTGACTTGTGCCTTATTAGTGTCAGATTTCCCCCAAAATGTGCATAGTGTGTTCCAAAGAAATTGTCTAAAGGCTGGTGAAATTCGCGCGAGTCTCTGTCTCTGTTTCTCTCTCTCTACGTCTCTCTCTGTGTCTTTCTCTTGCCATCCTCTCTCTCTCTCTCCCTCTCCCTCCCCCACCTCTCTCTCTCT